CAAAGACTGAGGTCCAGACTACTGTTCTTACTGTCCCCCAACCCAAAACAAAACAAAACAAACAAACGAACAAAAAAACCCCCACAAAAAACCAAATAAACAAAACAAACAAACAAATAAACAAATCAAAAAAAAAACCCCAACCACCCTTGAGAAAAAGGAGAGACAATCTGAATAAGGAATATGGTAATCGGGTAAATGCACATTCAGATAATGAGAGATCTTTCATATATTGGTAAAAATGTGAAAGACTGTTCATAGCCAGCCCTGGGAAATGGTCAGAAATAAACAGTTTCACAGTGGCTGGGGGTCCTTTAAATTGACACCACCTTTTGGCAGGCTACTTCTCCGTTGAATTCATGACAACGTTAATTTAATAATGTTCATAATAGCGAAATTCTGGGGTAAACATAAAAAGCCACCGATAGAATGGTTAAATATGATATATCCATGTTATGGAATATAGGCATGCCATTTTTAAGTGACTGCAGAAGAGTTTATTTATTGATTTTAAAGGATCCCCAAGAAATACTGCTAGTTAATAAAGTTGCAGAACAACACTTAGGCTATGATCACACAAATATATGCAGATACATGTCTGCATGCCTATCTATTATGTTTACATTGATTTGAAAATATTAAGAGCACCAAAGGATAAACACGTAAACTGCCAATCATCATTAGCTCTGGGAGGAGAATAAAATAGGGGATGGGAGGATGGGGACATCATGGTCGACTTTTGCTTTTAATTCATTATTCTCCAGTGTTACATTGTTTTAAATAAATGTGTCACCATGTTGCTTGTGTGATGAAAATGGAACAGGACAAATGGTCCTGTAGTAAAGAAAACTTGGTTGTCCTGGGCTAGTCATGTCATTACGAGCTCCTTAACCAGCAGCATAACTCTAGTGGAAAAAATAAAGCAGAATGTTAGAACCACCAGGGTGGAGGAAGAAGGAAGATTTTCATGAACTCCTTCCATTTTAGGATGACACCTGCTCTTTGGCGCTCTGTCCGTCCTAGTAAAAGGGAGAAAGAGAAACACGGACTGAATTCAAGAGCTCAAAGATGATTTAAGAGCTAGACGTTGAGACACGGTGAGAGCAGGATGCACTAATTCCACAGGCCCGGGTAGGCAAAGAAGAGATACTATGCTATCACGAACCCTCAGTGGCCTGGGGAGAAAGGCACCCCCCAAAAGATCTGCCACAGGGAATACCCAGCACTGGTTCTCAAAGTGAGGCTCCCAGACAAGCAGCATTATCATCACCAGGGAACCTGGAGGCATGCACATTATCCAACCCCATCCCAGACCGACTGAATCTGAAATTCTGCAGACGGGGCCCAGTGATGTTTCAACAAGCTTTCCAGGGAATTCGAATGTGTGCTAAAGTTTGACAAGCACCACCTGAGACCAGGGGTTCTCAAAATTTAAAACACCTCTGCCTCCCTGGGGGAGCTGGTTAGGCAGCACATTCAGACTCCGCAGGGATGGACGGGGGCCCGAGACTCTGCATTTCTCCCAGGCTTCTTGGTGAGGTCATGCTCCCGTGGCTCCGACCAGTGGAGTAACTTGCGAAGGCAGAGAGAGCGTGTGTTCAACGACAAGAGGGCTTCCCGAGGAAATAGGGAGGATACAGACCTCGTCAGCATTTTTTTTTTTTAAAGATTTTATTTATTTATTTGACAGAGAGATCACAAGTAGGCAGAGAGGCAGGCAGAGAGAGAGGAGGAAGCAGGCTCCCCGCCGAGCAGAGAACCGGATGTGGGGCATGATCCCAGAACCCTGGGATCATGACCTGAGCCGAAGGCAGAGGCTTTAACCCGCTGAGCCACCCAGGCGCCCCCCTCGTCAGCATTTTATTTCATCTTTCTTTCAAGGCCATGGGCAAGACTAACGCTGCTTTCTTGGAGGGCTTGTTGTCTGGGCTGGTGTGGATGCTTTCACCAATAGTACCGTGTTTGTGTCTCAGTGGCATGCCTCCCGAAAGTTCGAAATATTTGCTGCCACTCCTGACTTTATGTGAACAGTTCCTCTTTCCAGATGGAGAAGCTGAGGCTGGTCCCCGTAGCTGTTTGTGTTCCAACCAAGGTCATTGAGATCTGGGACAGCCCCGGCTGGCGAGGCCTCGGGATCTGGCTGGAGCTCTTCGCACAGGCCTCTTATCCCTCTCCATGTGGCCAGTGGGAAGCTGTGAGCGAGCTAGGAGATTAACACGCTGCGGCTCCCTAGTAAAACCCAGAGCCGCTGACTCTCCGGGCTCACTGGTGAATCACAGGGAGCTTTAACCTCCTTTCCGTCAGAAAGCATTTATTTAAAACCCCTTGGCTAACTCACCCAGTGAGCTGGCCTGTCACACACCGTCACATGGGATGGAAACTGGCAATTAAATTTAGCAACCCACCTCGGCAAATCCAGACCGAGATGTTTACAGGCTAGCCCGCGAGGAGCCAGGAGCTTGTGCTCTTAAATCAAGAGGTTTCCAGAGAAAGTGAAGTCAGGCTCGGTGGGTTATGCTGAATTATGGGCACCTGTTCCCATCCATAACTTGATGGCAAGACTCAAACGGCCAAGAATGTCTGCTCCGCATGCAGCCTGATGGAGGGCTGGCCACCTCACTGTCAGGCGCGGCGGGGAGATGCGAAAGGGAGGCCTTTGCTCCAAGGATGGCTTGTTTGATTACCTACTCTGGGGGCTGAGACAGACAACAGTAACCAAAGAATAAATGTAATTTTTCCCAAGCTTCCCCCTCACCAAATAAAATAAAATAAAATAAAATAAAATAAAATGAAAAGCACATTGATTGCAATATTGAGCAACCCAAGTCAATTTTTGTGATGGCCAATGACGAGGTGAGCCTATTAAGTGGGGAGTTTTCTGGTTTATAGGATGCCATCATGATTAGAGCCTGGATTCATTGCTACAGACCTACCTGAGGTCCAGGAAGCTTTTCTCTTACAAGGCTCTACTTTCTGGAAAACGCCTGGGGTGAAAATGAGCAAAAGTGGAATTTGTGTGCCTTTCTGGATCTGGTGGCAGGTGTTGGGACATCACACGAGAAGAGACGTCTTTTATTTTAGCAGAAGCTCTGCTTTCTGGGCGGCTGGGAGGATGACTGTCAGAGAGAGGTGAGTAGAAGGCCCATGCAAGACCCAGACTTTAGTCCCATCTTTTCCAACGGCTGGCATGCCTGGTGAAGGACACCTGCCCAGCTTCTGTAAGAGCTTGTCTTTGACAGGAGCCCAGGTCTGTGGGAGGGATGAAGAGGACACGGGCAACTGGAGGGAAAGGCGGCGGGTGCCACTCTCCACCTGCGTGAAAGCACTCCGCCGGCCAGGTGCAGAGAAACATGTTGGAGCTTCAGCACACCCACATGAGTATCTGTTCTCTCATGTTACACAATAGCACCTTACAGAGGAGGCCACGGGACTTCGAGTGTCGTCAGCTGGGCCTGGTGGGGAGGAAAAGGCCCGCTGATAATGGGAGCTACCCCAGATTAGCGTGAGGGGGCATGGCTTCTTATTCAAACCATCCTGGTGAATTTCCAGTCCCAGCGAATGATGCTGGAAGGCATCAAAGCCTTCAAGGCTGGTAAAACCTAGCTTTGCAGAGCCCGAGCCCCTCACAGAACGATTCCCTAAACTGTGTGTTCCTATCCACCTTTTCCATCGTAGCTCCTTTCCTTATCTCTGTTTTCTCTCTTTTTCTTTACCTCCCTTACCCTCCTTCCGTTTGTTCTTCCTGTCCTTTCTAGACCTAATGGCAAAGAGCCATGTTCCTGAGCTACCCCAGGGCCCTTGGCATTAGGAGGTAAGTGGTCCCCTATGGCTCAGTTCAAGCAGGTGGGGGCTGACGCTACTGGCCTTGAAGCTGATGCTGGGTTGACTCGCCATGTTGGTTGCTGTGTATTTTCAGTGCCTTGGTGTCTCTCTTTGTCCATCGTGGCTAGAAGTCCCTCCCCTTCCTTCACCAGGATGGTCTGAAGGACTAGCGAGGTCAGGTATGAGATCAGAACTCAGGAAGGGCACGGCGTGAATGCTGGGCTTTGCCATCACTGGGCGTTTCTGTGCACAATGGTTACCTTTCATGGTGCTCCAGCTGGCCTTCCTAGTCACGTCTTCCTCGTCTTGTAGAGCAGGTTGTATCCCAAGAATGGTGTTTGGCTCAAGGTCACACAAGGTTGGGTACCTCAGCTCAGTTGAAACAAAGAGCAATTGAGTTCCTACCCTATGCTCAGCCCATTGGACCACAGTGACCTCTGTTCTCTGTACCTGGAAGCCCAGCCCTGGTGGAGGAAATAGTATTCTTGCTTTTCCAGGTGGTGTGGAAACCAGTAAGCTGCCTCCTCCTCCCCCTGGCTGGGTTGAATCCAGCTCCGTCTGTGTCTGGTCCACATCTTATGCCTGCTTAGTATAGGCCACTCCTTGCTGAGAGACAGCATGGAGCAGAGGTGTCTATTGGAGGGGGGGGTTGCATGGTCTGGCAAGGGGGAAGCCAGAGGACACAAAATCCACTTTGGGGGTTCTGAGCGATGGGCTGGCTCGGGAAGGGAGCTTTACCGCCTAATTAAAATGTTTCCTTTCTGTCTAACTTTAACTCACGTCCTTTGCATATGGGACATCTAACGCAGAAATGCCAGAACAGAACCAAAGAAGTGGGGAAAAAAGTCCCCTCTGAGTCTGGGATGATTACAACAGCCGTGGCTGGATTCGCTGGTCTTTTGCCTGGATTCTGCTGTCCTGCTTTGGATTACAACAGTCTGTTTTGCAAACTACATCTCCCAGGCTCCCTCGCTGCCTGGCTTCCAGCTGGGTTCAGCCCAAGGGGGTTCAGTGAAAAAGGATAAGTCAGAGCACTGGAGGAAGGGAAAGGCTGGGGTGTTTCCTCCATCTCACTCTGAGCCTGCCAGGATCTCTAACAGCCGTGCTCTGTGTGGGCACCCTTGTTGGACAGACCCTTTCCAGGGTTCCTGCTCTGCCAGACTGCCCAGAGTTCAGGTGCAGATAATGGTCCCTTTCCAAACGTAAGGTGCATGGAATCTTCTGTTACTTCAGTCTGGGATTGGGTTTTCAGTTCTTCCAGCATCTCTGTAACCACTGCCCCCACATTACATTTCCTCTGTTAGACTCCCTGACTGGACACCATTTCCCTAACTCATCAGATGAGGAGCCTGGGGCCAGGGGAGCCATGGGCCTGCCTGTGGAACCTGGATCAGAGGGAGCACTGGAACCCAGTCCCCAAGCTCCTCCCTGGATACCTGCGGGTGAGCCTCCTCATGAAGGGGGCCCTTGGGGTCCGAGCCCAAGGTGGGTTACATTTTCCTGGTAAGGAGAAAACCAGAAATAAAGCTGAAATTGCTAATTGGTGCACAGAAACTAGCCAAATACTCCAATCAGCCAGAAAGGACCTTCCTTTATTTATTTTTATTTATTATTATTTTTTAAAAGATTTTATTTATTTGAGAGAAAGAGTGAGTGAGAGAGAGCACAAGCTGGAGAAGACACAGGGGGAGAGGGAGGAACAGACTCCCCGCTAAGCAGGGAGCCTGATGTGGGACTCGATCCTAGGACCCCGGGATCATGACCTGAGCTGAAGGCAGACTCTTTTTTTTTTTTTTTTAATCTTTTTAAAATTTTATTTTTTATAAACATATAATATATTTTTATCCCCAGGGGTACAGGTCTGTGAATCGCCAGGTTTACACACTTCACAGCACTCACCATAGCACATACCGTCCCCAGTGTCCATAACCCCACCCCCCATCTCCCAACCCCCCTCCCCCCATCAACCCTCAGTTTGTAAGGGCAAAAATGAACTATTGGGATTTTATCAAGATCAAAAGCTTTTGCACAGCAAAGGAAACAGTTAACAAAACCAAAAGACAACTGACAGAATGGGAGAAGATATTTGCAAATGACATATCAGATAAAGGGCTAGTGTCCAAAATCTATAAAGAACTTAGCAAACTCAACACCCAAAGAACAAATAATCCAATCAAGAAATGGGCAGAAGACATGAACAGACATTTCTGCAAAGAAGACATCCAGATGGCCAACAGACACATGAAAAAGTGCTCCACATCACTCGGCATCAGGGAAATAGAAATCAAAACCGCAATGAGATACCACCTCACACCAGTCAGAATGGCTAAAATTAACAAGTCAGGAAATGACAGATGCTGGCGAGGATGTGGAGAAAGGGGAACCCTCCTACACTGTTGGTGGGAATGCAAGCTGGTGCAACCACTCTGGAAAACAGCATGGAGGTTCCTCAAAATGTTGAAAATAGAACTACCCTATGACCTAGCAATTGCACTGCTGGGTATTTACCCTAAAGATACAAACGTAGTGATCCGAAGGGGCACCCAAATGTTTATAGCAGCAATGTCTACTATAGCCAAACTATGGAAAGAACCTAGATGTCCATCAACAGACGAATGGATAAAGAAGATGTGGTATATATACACAATGGAATACTATGCAGCCATCAAAAGAAATGAAATCTTGCCATTTGCGACGACGTGGATGGAACTAGAGGGTATCATGCTTAGCGAAATAAGTCAATCGGAGAAAGACAACTATCATATGATCTCCCTGATATGAGGGAGAGGAGAGGCAACATGGGGGGTTAAGGGGGTAGGAGAAGAGTAAATGAAACAAGATGGGATTGGGAGGGAGACAAACCCGAAGGCAGACTCTTAAGCAATTGAGCCACCCAGGCACCCAAAGGATCTTCCTTTAAAGTCAGCTTAAAAAAAAAAAAGAAAAGATGGGGCACCTGGGTGGCTAAGTGGGTTGAGCCTCTGCCTTCAGCTTGGGTCATGATCTCGGGGTCCTGGGATCGAGCCCCACATCGGGCTCTCTGCTCAGCAGGGAGCCTGCTTTCCTCTCTCTCTCTCTGCCTGCCTCTCTGCCTACTTGTGATCTCTGTCTGTCATATAAATAAATAAATAAAATCTTAAAAAAAAAAAAAGAAAAGATAAAAAGAGAAACTTGGTGTCAAGGTATTAAAGAAAGAGGGGGATCTTATTTCTGCTTTCTATTTGCCTCTTTGGCCTTTGAGGGGGACCTATGGGCTGGGGATCTTTTGAAGAGAAACAGAGACCCCTCAACCCTTTTCTGGGATGGCTGGACGCTGGTGGGGGGCACCCATGTCTCGGTCAGAGCACCTTCTTCGTTGAGCGTAGTTGACACACAATGTTACATTGGTTTCAGGTACAACAAGGTGATCTGAGAAGTTTCTGTGTTCCGCTGTGCTCACAGCCAGTGTGGCCATCTGTCCCCACACAGTGCTGTAACAGCATCATTGACTCTGTTCCCCATGCTGTGCCTTTTATTCCCATGACTTATTCCTTCCGTAACTGGAACTCTGTATCTCCTGCTGCCTTCACGCACTTTGCCCATCCCCCACTCCTCCATGTCCAGAGCATCTTGCAATGACTTCTTTGGGGTGTGCCTAGGAGCCTGACCCTGGTCACAACCCAGGCCCACAGCCACCAGCCTGGTCCGCGTCAGACTCCAGCCCAGCACCTGCTTCAGCTCCCTTCCCCCCTCAACGCTGGTCCCACACCCGCCCTTCCCGAGGGCACTCTGTGGTCAGCAGGGGCAGCAGAGCCCTGACAACCACCCTGTGACTCACGCATTCTTCAGAGGTCCCTGAGCTGGTGCTGCCTGCCGCCTGCAGCTCCCAGGAAGGTTCGGCTCTGGCCACACAGGCGTATCTGAGGGGATTTGTGACCCAAGAGGTTTTTTCTTTTTTTTTCTTAACTTTATTTTTAATTGTGGTAAAATACACATAACATAAAATTTGCCATCTTAACTGTTTCTGGGAGTCAAGTTTAGTGGCATGAAGTACGGCCACATGGTTGTGGAGCCCAGCCATCCCCTCCACCCATCCCAGAACGCCTTCTTCTTCCCATCCTGCAGCGTGGCGCCCATCGATGGCTAACTCCTCATTCTCCCTGCCCCCCACCTGGCCCCTGGCAGCCTCCCTTCTCCTTTCTGCCTCCGTGAACTTGACTTCTCTGGGGACCTCATGTAGGGGGACTGTCCTTTGTGACTGGCTTAGGTCACTGAACACGATGGCCTCCAGCTTCATCCCTGTGTCAGAACTTCCTTCCTTTTTGAGGCTGAAGAATATTCCACTGCATGTCTACGCCACGTTTTGTGTATCCATTCATCCACTTGGGTGGCTTTGACCTTTCAGCTACTGGGAATAACGCTGCTGTGAACGTGGGTGGGGGCGGGGGGCAACGATCTGTGGGAGACCCTGCTTTCAATTCTCCTATGTTCATACTCAGAAGTGAAGTTGCTGGATCCTACGGTACTTCTGGTTTTAATTTTTTGAGGAACCTCCATTTGGTTTCCCACAGATGAGTTATTCTGCTTTTCCACCAACAGTACACAAGGGATCCCTTCACTCCATCACTAGCTGTTGTCTTTCTTTTTTCCCCACACCTCTAGCCATCCTAATGGGTATGAAGTATCTTTTACCTGTATCATTCATGTTTTAAAAAGTGGGTTCTTTATGTGGAATAAAAATTTCAACATCAATTTTCTTCTTCCCAATTTCAGTGTCTCTGTTTCTAGAGACATTCACTGTTTCCACCCCAAAGAATGCTTCTGGAGATGGTCTATGCACAGATAAACAGATGTGTACATACTTTTTAAAACAAACAACAAATGGGGCACCTGGGTGGCTCAGTGGGTGGAGCCTCTGCCTTCGGATCGGGTCATGATCTCAGGGTCCTGGGATTGAGCCCCTCATCGGGCTCCCTGCTCAGCGGGGAGACTGCTTCCCCCTCCAACCTCTCTCTGCCTGCCTCTCTGCCTATTTGTGATCTCTTTCAAATAATAAAAATAAATAAATAAATAAAACAAACAACAAGCAAGAGCATAGATTACATATTATTTTACGTTACTTTTTTTTAAAAGTGAACATGGCATTTTTCACATAACATTCCTTAACTGTATCTACAAGTGACAAGAGATTTAAATCTGTATAGGACATTGAAAATATAACGGAAGTCCTCGTCCTTCCAACCCAATACAGAAAGTTTGGACTTTTGGAAGATAACATACACAAACAAATCTTAAAACAAACAAACAAAAGAAGTCCTTCCTTGTTAAGCTGTTCCCTCTGCTTAAGTTTTATGCTAATGCTCTGAGGACAAGGGCATTTCTATGTTTTGGATGTAACACACACACACACACACACACACACACACTGGGGCAGTACCCTGTCATCAGACACATTAATATTTCTGCAGCAAAAGATAAAGATAAATTACACCAAGTGGGATAAAGATTCTAAATAGCCAGGCATTGGTCATGGTCAGGTTTTGCCACCAAATGCTTTTGAAAAGCTTTCAGTTTTCAGAGATTGTTGAATTCCAGAATTGCAGATAAGAGATTGCAGGCTTGTAGTATTTAAGGAGTGCCAGATTCTGGATTGGAAGCTTTCCCCCTGCCCCCCTCTCCTCAAAAGATTTTATTTATTTGACACAGAGGAGAGAGAGAGCAGGAGCACAGGTAGGCAGAGCGACAGGCAGAGGAAGAGGGAGGGGCAGGTTCCCCACTGAGCAAGGAACCTGATGTGGGACTCAATTCCAGGACTCTGAGATCATGACCTGGGCTGAAGGCAGAGGCTTAACCCACTGAGCCACCCAGGCGCCTCTGGATTGGAAACCTTTTTCATCTTACGTTTGCTACTCACAATAACCTCACAAGATAGAAACTTTACTGGTGGGGAAACTGAGGCATGGGGACAGAAAGTAATTTGCCCAAGTAGGTGCCCAAGCTGGGACTGGAACCCAGGTCTGTCTGATCCCCATGCCCGGGCTCATCCCGCTGTGTCCCAGGGGATGACATACCCTTGTCTGGTGTAATTATCAATAGCGCTGCTTCCCTCTCAAAAGAGCTGGGTCTTGGAATATATGTTATATGGTCATGTCCACGGTGCTCTGCTATGCCTTGGTGACCGGAGCTTTCTGGAGCTTAAAACAGCCTTTACACTTCACTGGCCTGGACTGTCTTTTTGTCAAGCACTTTACAGCGTATCAAGAAGGGGGTGGACAGCCCTGGGAGTTCTTCCTTTTCCTTGAAGACGTCCCTGAATTCTGAAACGTTGGGGGAGCTCACGGTCGACGCCGCACTGCTTACCTCTTCGTTTGGTGGGATGATGTGTTCTCTCTGATTTAAATTAAAAAAAAAAAAAAAAGTTGTGGTAAAATACACCAAGCCAAATTTACCATTTTCACTGTTTTCTCAGTGTGCAGGTCAGAGGCATTAAGCACATTCACATTATTGTGCAACTGTCACCAACGTCCTTCTCTAGAACTTTCTCATCTTGCAAAAATGAAACTGTGCCCATTAAACGCTGACCCCTCCCTCTCCCCCAGCCCCTTAGAAGGCAACCACCCTTCTAATTTCTTCCTCTGTGAATTTGACGACTCTAGGGGCCTAGCATAGTTGGAACCATCCAGAATTTGTCCTGATTGTGACTGTTTAAATTCACTTAGCACCATGTGCTTAAGGCTCCTCTATGTTGTAGCATGTAGTAGAATGCCCTTCCTTGGGGCACCTGGGTGGCTTCATGGGTTGAGCATCTGACTCTTGATTTTGGCTCAGGCTATGATCTCAGGGTCCTGGATCAGGTGCTGAGTCGGGCTCTGAGCTCATCCCTGAGTCTGCTTGAGACTCCCTCCCTCTCTCTCTCTCTCCCTCTACCCCTCCCCACCTTGTATGCACACATTTTTTTCTCTCTCTCTCCCTCTCTCTAAAAATAAATAAAATATTTAAAAAATATTTTATTTACTTATTTGTCAGAGAGAGAGAGAGCAAGAGAGAGCGAGCACAAGCAGGGGGAGTGACAGGCTCCCCGTTGAGCAAGGAGCCCGATTCTGGACTCGATCCCAGGACTCTGGGATCATGACCTGGGCCCAGGGTGGATGCTTAACTGACTGAGCCATCCTGGTGTCCCTAGAAATAAGTAAATAAAATCTAAAAAAAAAAAAAAAAAGAACGTTCTTCCTTGTTAAGCTGTTCCCTCCGCTTAAGTTTTCGGTTGATGCTCTGTGGACCAGGGCATTCTGGGGGCTACGGGTTGTTTGATGGCTCAGTCAGTATCAGCGGGTACATGATGGGCAGATGAGAAGTGTTTAGGACTGCAGCTGCCCTGGGAGAGAGGCCAGAGGCTGGCAGACCAGGAGGGCCCCACACGATCTGTGGCCTGGTGGCATTTGTGGCTGTTAACCACACCTGTGCTTTAGTTTCTGCCGTAGGTTAATGGTTGACTTATTACGTGGAATCAAGGGGCAGATGTTGCTGTTTTCTCATCAGTCCAGCAGCGGCATCGCCCTTCGATCAGGGTGTGTGTGTGTGTGTGTGAGAGTGGGAGCTGAGAGCGTGCGGCAGTGAGCGTATGTGTGTGTGGAAATGTGTGAGCAAGTGAGAGTATGTGCGGGTGTGGATATGGGCGAGTGTGCGAGAATGTGTGTGAGTGTGGGTGTGACTATGTGTGCGTGTGTAAGAACACGTGTGAGTGTGTGCATGAGTGCGTGAGGAAGTGCCCGGGGGGGTCACTCCGCAGCTACAGGCTAGAATGGGGACGAGGCCTAGTCTCTCTTCCCGCTCACCCTGCCTCAACAGAAGCCCTGGTTTAGAGAAATTACGGATACGCTCAGTTCTAGATTTGAGACCCTAATTGGGCTTCTTTGGTTCTACATGGAAAGAGGAAAGTCTTGAGTTTCTTTCTTTCACTTTTTATGTGTGTTCTCATCAAAGGACAGGGAGAGGAAGATGCTGGCACTGGGTCTGTGAGGTCTTTGGTCTTTTAGGGCCAAGACAGTCCTTCCTCAGACCCAGGTCCTGCCCTTCTGCGGGGCAGCCCCCATCCCACGTGTTCAGGTTAAGGCTGTTGTCATCCTGCTTTACTGTCTGGAAAGGGAGGCACAGATAGCGTGTGATCGCGGCGTCAAATAGCAGCGATCTTGCTTTGTGGAGGAGGCTTGCTCGGGACCCCATGTGGGGTTGAGTGCGGAATTTCCAGCCTGGGAGGGATCCTGGTCTGTCTGGCTCAGGAAGTGGCTGTGAGGTGTCTGTTCCATCAGAAGCCCGGGTCTGGCGTCCTCCCCCTTCAGACAGAGCCCCGGTTCTGGCCGTGCGGCCTGCTTCCTCTCCTACCCCATGTGGCTCACTCAGCGGAAGGTACGGAGAGAAGGAGCCCCACAGGGTGGTCTGG